GGATAGAAACCGATGGTCAACTGTTTTCCCATACACCTGGCAAAGCTCAACAAGTCTCACACCACCTCATACTTCTGTATTTTTCCTTCTCACATCTATGGTGTTTCTCACTTTCTTTACCACAGGGGTACCACTAGCAAGTTTCTTTGGGCCCATGGCAGCTTATTTCACAGTCCCACAAGCACTAAACACAACGAAATAATCGTAAAATGCGTGAATGAGAGCGCAGGTTAGTGTTCACTCAAGCATAAACAAAGCTAGACTGCTCACGGGGCCTGCGCGGGGATGCAGACAGAGCGGGCCGGCAGACAGGTCCCGTACCCGGCGGTCCGAAAATAGGGGCGCATTCGATAATAGGGACACAGTTCGTCCGAAAAAATGGTCCTATTTTCGAAACGTTCGATATGTGATACGTTCGATTTTTGAGGTTCCACTGTATACATACTTTAGAATGAATAAAATATGTCATTATGTGACAAGTGGTGGAAGCCATATCTACTCCTGCTCTGAAAACATCTTCCCATGTTTCCCCTTCTGAGGTGTTATTATAAAAGAAAATGGAGTGTTTGTGAAGCTAACTGCACTAGTTTCATAAGGAAAACACTGAAATAAGAAGTAGTGTATAAAAACATAATAGAGAATGTAAAGAAATAAACTCGTGTACATACAGCATTTACTTTGGAGAAGAGATGCTGATGGAGGTTGACAGTGGAAAAGATAGGCAGAGTGGTGTATGCTGTCAATGGCCCTATAAACCCCAACAACAACATTGGAGGAGTTCATTTCGTTTTGTCCTTTTTCTATAGCTTAATCACACTCTTAATGCTACCTGGAGAGAGTTCCGGGGGTCAACGCCCCCGCGGCCCGGTCTGTGACCAGGCCTCCTGGTGGATCAGAGCCTGATCAACCAGGCTGTTGCTGCTGGCTGCACGCAAAACAACGTACGAGCCACAGCCCGGCTGGTCAGGAACCGACTTTATGTGCTTGTCCAGTGCCAGCTTGAAGACTACCAGGGGTCTGTTGGTAATCCCCCTTATGTATTCTGGGAGGCAGTTGAACAGTCTCGGGACCCTGACACTTATTGTATGGTCTCTTTAACGTGCTAGTGACACCCCTGCTTTTCATTGGGGGGATGTTGCATCGTCTGCCAAGTCTTTTGCTTTCGTAGTGAGTGATTTTCGTGTGCAAGTTCGGTACTAGTCCCTCTAGGATTTTCCAGGTGTATATAATCATGTATCTCTCCCGCCTGCGTTCCAGGGAATACAGGTTTAGGAACCTCAAGCGCTCCCAGTAACTGAGGTGTTTTATCTCCGTTATGCGTGCCATGAAGGTTCTCTGTACATTTTCTAGGTCAGCAATTTCACCTGCCTTGAAAGATGCTGTTAGTGTGCAGCAATATTCCAGCCTAGATAGAACAAGTGACCTGAAGAGTGTCAGCATGGGCTTGGCCTCCCTAGTTTTGAAGGTTCTCATTATCCATCCTGTCATTTTTCTAGCAGATGCGATTGATACAATGTTATGGTCCTTGAAGGCGAGATCCTCCGACATGATCACTCCCAGGTCTTTGACGTTGGTGTTTTGCTCTATTTTGTGGCCAGAATTTGTTTTGTACTCTGATGAAGATTTAATTTCCTCGTGTTTACCATATCTGAGTAATTGAAATTTCTCATCGTTGAACTTCATAGTTTTCTGCAGCCCACTGAAAGATTTGGTTGATGTCCGCCTGGAGCCTTGCAGTGTCTGCAATGGAAGACACTGTCATGCAGATTCGGGTGTCATCTGCAAAGGAAGACATGGTGCTGTGGCTGACATCCTTGTCTATGTCGGATATGAGGATGAGGAACAAGATGGGAGCGAGTACTATGCCTTGTGGAACAGAGCTTTTCACCGTAGCTGCCTCGGACTTTACTCTGTTGACGACTACTCTCTGTGTTCTGTTAGTGAGGAAATTATAGATCCATCGACCGACTTTTCCTGTTATTCCTTTAGCACGCATTTTGTGCGCTATTACGCCATGGTCACACTTGTCGAAGGCTTTTGCAAAGTCTATATATATTACATCTGCATTCTTTCTGTCTTCTAGTGCATCTAGGACCTTGTCGTAGTGATCCAATAGTTGAGACAGACAGGAGCGACCTGTTCTAAACCCATGTTGCCCTGGGTTGTGTAACTGATGGGTTTCTAGATGGGTGGTGATCTTGCTTCTTAGGACCCTTTCAAAGATTTTTATGATATGGGATGTTAGTGCTATCGGTCTGTAGTTCTTTGCTGTTGCTTTACTGCCCCCTTTGTGGAGCGGGGCTATGTCTGTTGTTTTTAGTAACTGAGGGACGACCCCCGTGTCCATGCTCCCTCTCCATAGGATGGAAAAGGCTCGTGATAGGGGCTTCTTGCAGTTCTTGATGAACACGGAGTTCCACGAGTCTGGCCCTGGGGCAGAGTGCATGGGCATGTCATTTATCGCCTGTTCGAAGTCATTTGGCGTCAGGATAACATCGGATAGGCTTGTGTTAACCAAATTTTGTGGCTCTCTCATAAAAAATTCATTTTGATCTTCGACTCTCAGTCTGGTTAGCAGCTTGCTAAAAACTGAGTCATACTGGGACTTGAGTAGCTCACTTTATTACTGAACTTAACTGCTACAATTTATTTTTTTTTTCACTTCACTTTTCACTGATTTTTGGCTTTTTCTCCATGCTTTTCACTGGTGATGGTGAGCACTGGTGTGGTATTCACTGTGCCATCTAGTGGTGGCATTTGTTGTTTTGTTGCATTCTGAAGCTCACTTGTTATTATTGTATTATTATATTATTAAACAGTAGACCCTCGGTTATCGGCTGTAATCTGTTCCAGAAGCTCGGCCTAAAACCAAAATGGCCGAAAACCGAAATAATATTTCCCACAAGAATTAGTGTAATTACAATTAATCCGTTTCAGACAAAAATATTCACAAAAAATAATTTTTCTAACAATTAAATAAGTATTACATACCTTTATTGAAGACTAATACTGGCTTCTGGAAGTGTAGCATGCCTATTACACTCCTGCATGCCTGCTATACTCCCTGCATGCCTGTTACACTCCCTGCATGCCTGCTACACTCCCTGCATGTCTGCTACACTCCCTGCATACCTGGTACACTTCCTGCATGCCTGCTACACTCCCTGCATGCCTGTTACACTTCCTTCATGTCTGCTGCACTCCCTGCTTGCCTGCTACACTTCCTGCATGCCTGCTACATTTCCTGCATGTCTGCTATGCTCTCTGCATGCCTGCTACACTTCCTGCATGCCTGCTACACTTCCTGCATGTCTGCTACACTCCCTGCATGTCTGCTACACTCCCTGCATGCCTGCTACACTCCCTGCATACCTGGTACACTCCCTGCATGCCTGCTACACTCCCTGCATGCCTGCTACACTCCCTGCATGCCTGTTACACTCCCTGCATGTCTGCTGCACTCCCTGCATGCCTGCTACACTTCCTTCATGTCTGCTGCACTCCCTGCATGCCTGCTACACTTCCTGCATGCCTGCTACACTTCCTTCATGTCTGCTACACTCCTTGCATGTCTGCTACACTCCCTGCATGCCTGTTACTTCATGTCTGCTGCACTCCCTGCATGCCTGCTACACTCCCTGCATACCTGGTACACTTCCTGCATGCCTGCTACACTTCCTGCATGCCTACTACACTCCCTGCATGTCTGCTACACTCCCTGCATGCCTGTTACTTCATGTCTGCTGCACTCCCTGCATGTCTACTACACTCCCTGCATACCTGCTACACTTCCTGCATGCCTGCTACACTTCCTGCATGCCTGCTACACTTCCTGCATGCCTGCTACACTTCCTGCATGTCTGCTACATTCCCTGCATGTCTACTACACTCCCTGTATGCCTGCTTCACTCCCTGCATGCCTGCTACACGAGGTGCATGTCTGCTACACTTCCTACATGCCTGCTACACTTCCTGCATGCCTGCTACACTCCTTGCCTCTATGCCTGCCTGCCTTGAATTCTATCATGTTTCTCACTTTCTTTACCAAAGAAACTTTACTAAGAACTTTCTTTGGGGCCACGGTGACTGATTTCACAGTTACACTTGATAAGTAACCACCAAAAACAACGATTATAGCAAAATGTTTGGATGAAAGAGCAGAAGCTTTTTCACTCGCCCAGACACACAGCCAGACTGACACGAGTGGCTGCCGGTGGGCAGGTGTATGCATCCCTTACAGGACGGCCGATAAGCGAAATAATTGGCAGTTATTTAATAGGAACGGCCAATAACCAAGGGTACACTGTACGTATTATATTATTATTGTTATAATGGGGAAGCGCTAAACCTGTAGGATTATACAGCGCCTGTTGGGGGGAGGGGATGGAAGGTATTCAGGCTTAATTTAGGGAACTGGAGCACAGATACAATTCCCTAGATCAAGAGCCCCTCAGCAGTGTCAAGGAACCTCCCTTGAGGGGAAAGCTCGCAGCCTGAATTTTGGCTTGTATCCAGGAGCAAAATATTGACCAAGCGACGGCTCGTATCCTGAAAAACTCGCATGGTGGGGCACTCGTAAGCAGAAGTTCCACTGTACTTTGTTACGAGTCATATTCCACCAAAGTTGTTGCCAATGGTTGCGAAGGTGGTTTGAAATTACAGCAAATAGTCTGAGAATGGAATACCTCCATATGAAACTGAGAGGTCATGTGCCACTGACTGTACAGCTGAGTCTGCCTGCTCATTGCCCTGAACATCAACATAACCAGGGACCCAGCAGAAAATGATTTCTTTGGTTTTGCTAGAAATGCAACGCAACCACAGTTGTATACGAAGGACTAGAGGATGGTAGACCACAAAAAAATCAGCAGTACTTAGTGCCAATGCAATCCAAATAAAATAATTTTGTTTCAAGTCTGAAGAAGGTATATTATAATGTGGGGAATGTAAATACTGTAATTAATATTGCAATTGTTCTAGGACTAAATAAAAACCAGGTCTTATCCCAAGATATAAGTGTATTAAATATTGCACAAAGCATTTCTTTGTGGGTACCTACAGGCCTAAAAATTGTTAAGTTCTCAAATATAACAATTAAATTATATTTATCCAAACACTGTACAAGGCTTTCTTTTGAGAATACCACCTGTACCTTATTTGTCTACATTTCACTGGTGTGTATTAAACAAAAGAAGATATAAATAATGAAACCGGATATAATTACTGACACTATACTTACAACCTACAATGTAAACAGCAGCTGAAGCCCAAACTAACAGCTACAGATCAGGTACATTCTGTTTCGAGCAGTTTTGGGGGTATACCACAACTTTGCCACACACAGAGATCATATAAAAATACAGCAGAACTGCCTCCATCAATCCAGAAATGTTACCTGCATTATTTCCATTTTATACAGGGTCAATCCACATTGATGTGCACAACAGAATAAATATTGAGTTTTAAGCTTTTTGTCAAATTTAATGGGAATTCTGATTAAGATAATTATCTAACACAGCAAGCACATTTTTAAGTAACTTTATAACTTAAAACATTGAAATAATTCAGTAGAAAAAGGAATGACCTTTATTTACACAAACTCACATAGGCCAGACTATGTACTACTGGAACTCTAGACATCCTGTGCTATTAACTAAGGATACAGCATTTCTAAACCCATTAGCAATGGAATGATAAAGAAAAATGTTAAAAATAAAAAAAAAAAAAAAAAAAAAAATGCTCAATATATATATAATTACATCAGAAAAAGTCTTTACAGGCAACTAAAATAAATTTTACCTGAAAGTCCTGACCAAATTATTCATGGGAAACTAAAGAAAACATTGCTTTGTATCATGCCATTTTTCTTGACAGTGAGAGAATGCAAAAGAAGTATGGATAAACAAATTATAGCAAAATACTCCATTATTTCATTATCAATCCAGGTAAATTTAGCCAAAATGACAGTTTCAAGTTTCTACACATAAAGTTAAAGAGTAGCACATTTCTTAACAGCACATTATCACGTAACAATACATCTCATCAACACCTTAATCACTTCCCCATGGGTCAGGGATATATACATTTATCTGGTGGCAAATTAAGATTTTAAATGCTTATACCCATGTATTTAATAGAAACTTTCCCCCTAACTCTAAATTCACTTAAATATTTATCCATACATGATCCCAGCAGTTCTTTATAATCATGAATAAATACTGTACAAAGTAACTTACAAACATCAAAATCAATATAAATATACCTGTGCTTAAAAATCTATAAAAAAAATCTTTTCTCTTCAGAATACTGCTGAAGTGTTTATCAGCAAAGGCTAAGAAATATACAGTAAAACTTTCTCACCAAAATCTGCTGAATCTCACAATGTGGCAGTGATGAAGAAACAAACAACACATATGCTAAATGTAATATAAATACAGTATTATCAGTGACCAGCATAGTTCAAACACAAAAAATGTACACTTCTATTATATACTAGTTTTACAATTTGGAGCATTATCTATGATAAGTGATAATTTATATACAAATCAAAATGTTATTCATATAAACACTAATAGCAAAATCTCTACCATACAAGACATTAGACATTTGTAAAAATAGCAATAGAAATAATCTTAAATACGGTTTATGTTTGACCCTGCAAGATACCTAGTCACAAATACAGTACCAAGTTAATGCATTTTGTTATGGTAGGTATTCTTGAGCTATTACAAAATTGGTTAAGTATATAAAACAATGGCTCTTGATTACAAATTGAAACAAATTTAAGATCATTTCATACATATAACATTTAGTTTGCAAATTACTGATAATTTTGGCAGCTTGTGTTCTGACATGATTATTTTACTACTAATTATTATTTTTACATTCAGTGGGAGAGTGCTAAACTCATAAGGGTTATACAGTGCAAGGAGAAGGGAAGGCAACCAACTCTGATCCATGTAAATGAATGTCAGGACCAATTCTTTGGATCAAAAGTCCTTCATTGGCATCAAGGAACCTCTCTTGAAGGATCCAAGGAATGGGAGGTTAGCTACATTTCCTTAGACCAAGAGCCCTTCAACTGGCATCAAGGCACCTTCCTTAAAGTGTTTTAATATTTAAACTAGTTCATACAGAGACCTCACACTAACCTTCCCTACATTTTTTTTTCCTATTTAAATAATTTAACATTACAAGAAACATACTTTATACATTAGCTATTTAACACCTTCAGCATAATATGATTTTTTGTGTGTGTCCAAGCAGAGTGAGTGTGCATGTATATACTGTAAATAATAAATATACATATTTATGGGTGTGAGGCATGGGTTGTGAATGCTGCAGCGAGGAGGAGGTTGGAGGCAGTGGAGATGTCATGTCTAAGGGCAATGCGTGGTGTAAATGTTATGCAGAGAATTCGTAGTGTGGAAATTAGGAGGAGGTGTGGAGTTACAAAAAATATTATTCAGAGGGCTGAAGAAGCATTATTGAGGTGGGTCACTGAGAGAGAATGGAGTAAAATAGAATGACTTGGAGAGCATACAAATCTGTAGGGGAAAGAAGGCAGAGTAGGGATTGTCCTCAAAAAGGTTGGAGGGAGGGGGTAAAGGTGGTTTTGTGGACGAGGGGCTTGGACTTCCATCAAGTGTGCATGAGTGTGTTAGATAGGAGTGAATGGAGACAAATGGTTTTTGGGACCTGACGAGCTACTGGAGTGTGAGCAGGGTAATATTTTGTGAAGGGATTCAGAGAAACTGGTTAGCCGGACTCAAGTCCTGGAAATGGGAAGTACAGTGCCTGCACTTTAAAGGAGGGGTTTGGGATATTGGGAGTTTGGAGAGACATCTAAACTGTCCTATCTGAGTGCCTCTGCAAAGACAGTGATTATGTATGAGTGATGGTGAAAGTGTTGAATGATGATAATGAAAGTTTTTTCTTCATTTTGGGTTTTTTCTTTCTTTTTGGGTCATGCTGCCTCGATGGGAAACGGCCGACGTGTTAAAAAAAATCTACTAAATTCCGAATAATCTGACAGGGCATTAAAATGTTCTTTGATGGGTTTTTAATGATGAGTTCAAAATAAGAATCATCTAGAAGTAATGATCCTTTATCATGTCAAATATAATACAGAACATATACTTACTTTGAGCAGAAAATGCATGTTATTCCAATAAAAAATTTACACCATAATGTGAGAGGTTGTTTTGTAAAAACTATATTACCAACTTAAGTTACCCAAAAACATATTAATACTGTTTATCTCTTAATATCTAAACTGTATTTTGTAAGTGACAATATGCACTTTCAGTGCCATATAAAGATTGTCAATAGGTTAAGTGATTAAACAATGTTACTATACCCTCCAAAAAAATAGTACAGTCGACCCCCGCTTAAACATTAGGAGAGAATAATTTTGAATGACAGAAAAAATTCTGCTTAACCAATTTTATGCTCGTATAACAATCTCATGCCAGAGGTGGCCTAAAAACAAGTGGGATGCAAATACAACTGCTGTTAGTTAACCAAACCGTGTCACTAGGAATATTTTTATACCATACATCAATTTATGTTATCGAAAAAAATTGAGAAGAGAAAACAAAAATATAGTGAACATTACCCTTGATCAATCGTAATACAAGATCCACATTTCTTGACTAACTTTTATTTAACTGATAGGAATCAACTAAACCTACACCAAACGAGTATATACCACAGATAAATTAATTCAATAAAGCGAAAACCAAGACAAATAATGTGAATTCAGAGGATGATACTTGTAGGTGTTGTAGTGGTGGTGGGTGTGGCTTGTTTGCACTATTCCTTACCCTTATTAAACCACATTATTGTTTTTATTATAAATACAAGTTAAACGAGAAATGAAATGTGATTTTTTTTTTTTTTAGCTCAATGGCAGGTTCCTGCAAAGGCTGGATGACCCAAAGAAAATAACACATTCAATCAATTGCTATCTTTCTAGAATTATTCTGATATCACAGTCAGGTTATGCCTAAGACTGTATACATTTACTAAAAAGCACTAAAATCTTAAGTACTGTGGTGTAAGCAAAATTTCCAAGTTTCATATTTATGTTGGGGTTGAAATCGGCAACAGTAACGTATTCAAGTACTAGCATCTCTCTCACTACCTCCCATTCCTAGATCATAATAATATTCATGATCATTTATTTTTCAAGAAGATACAACTGTGTTCACAAAATTTCTTACATGGAAAAGCTAATAGTTATGAAAAGCATTTCAGGCAGACTTGAACTAGGAGTTGGATAGATAATTCAAATATGTGATAATGTTTAATTATTATTACAGTCTGAAAAAACTGCTATACTCATAATTAGTTAAAGTGAAATAGTTTGATTCCATAGTTGTACTGTGGCTAAAGTCATCAACAATAGTGTTTTAACATTTGAACCAAGACTGTAAATGAAAATCACAATATGGTACATTTTTCTCATTGCCTCTCTGAATTTTGCTTTCTCATGGCCTCAATTAGCATCTTATATTATGACTCCTATCTTTAACTGTGTCTTTGATGAGAAATTGCAAGAAAAAGGCATTACAAGGGGAAAATTACTGGTAGTGGCTCACCTCTCAGCTGGGAGATGAGGAAATGAGAGGAAAAAAAAAAAAAAAAAAGATACTGAAGAGTGAGAGGGAATAGGAGATGGGGGCAGGTCAATCTCTATAAGTACAGTGAAATGTCAATGTTTCTTACCCTTTTACCCCCCCCCCCAAAAAAAAATAATAGGAATCAAATATGGAACATTACTGTCCGGGTCTACATTTCAGGTTATATTATTATTATAATAAAAAAGAAGCGCTAAGCCACAAGGGCTATACAGCGCATTTCAGGTTATAACATGGGAGTCTATGGAAAGAATGCAATTTATTTAACATATCTTTTGTCCATCCCCTATCTATGCCATTAAGCGAGGGTTGACTGTATACCCAGTATATAGTTTACCCAGCGGTATTATTAGTTGAAAGCCTTAACTAAAATGGCACATAACAAAAGCAAACTCATATGCACCATTCAGACATTCTGTCTGAGCCTAATGCAATAGTGTGCATTTATCATCAGTCATATGAAATAATATTTATATTCTACCACTAGTTACAGTTTATCACAGCCACACTTTGGCACAAGATTAAATCTTGCCAGATAAATACACTGTTTAAATTGTTGCCTACAGGGATATGTAAAACTTCTTCACAGAGTTCTCATTATTATACTATACTGTTATATACAGTATGCAGCAATACTAGAATGAGATTTTCTCTAATTTAAATTTAGAATTCAAAATTTAGAAAGTATTGTCATTCGAAGTCAAAATTTGCGATGCATTCACTTAATTTCTTAATTTTTGCTCTTCATCTGAAAAATTACGAAATTAATTCCTGCAATTTAAAGAATAATATATAAGACAAAGTAATGTAGTGTATAATTGGTATTCATGGAGGCAATATACCTAATAAAAAAAATGCAAGTGGTAAAAACTGAGAATCTGTATACAGTGAATCAATAGTTAAATGTATGTTTGGTTCACAGGTCAGATAACGTAAGTGTAAAATGAAAAACAAATTTTAATATCCTCTTGCCAGAAGACACCTTTCCTTACTCTACCAGAGAAAAAAACATTTATGACAGTTGCTTACACAAATTTCTACAAAAGCTTAATAACAATAATGTTATTTTTAAAATTAAAAAAGTATCATGGTACCACTATGAAAATATTTACAAAAATATTAGAAAATCCATACTACAATGAAATATAGGACATGGATGCTCGTATACACCTCAAATAGGTGTACATGTACACATTAAAGTGTGGATTTAAGATGTGCACAATGATATGAAGAGTACTTTGTTTTATATCAGCACAGTACACAAGTGTATTAGGGTATATAATCATTTATGGAAAAATGAGCTTGGAAGAAATATTTATCAACAAACCACACCTAATTTCTTGGTCAAAAAAAAAACTTTTTTTTTAACAGTATTAATTTTACCCTTCTAACATTATCCTGCTTATATACAAATTCTCCATTTACACCTATGAACCTGTACTGTGTACTGCAATGTATTTTAAAGTTACTTTGATATAAATTTAAACTACTGGTACTCATGGTGAACTACACACTTTTGCTCAATCTGAATTTACTTCACCATCTTTTCTGGAAAAGTTTTGTTTCATATCACTTTAAAAAACAAATGAACAAATTTTAATTTTTTAATGATCAAACCCTGAAAAATCACATATTCCATGTTCTATATCTGTCTGCAAGAGCAACAGAATAATAATAAAGTTGTATTATATATTATCCATAATGTAACTTCTTCCCCACATGAAATACTTCATCTTATTATATATAATTAAGCCTCTGAGGGTCCAATATACCTTTGAAGAGTTCAAGAGTTTAACTACTCTCAGAGCCCAGCCATGGGGTCAGGCTCATAGTTCTACGCCTTGTCCACAGGGTCCAAGCCATAGTATTACGACATGAGCTCAGCTCACTCCGATAAGCTGTGAGTAGTAAATCTGGGCTTAGATATGCGAGAATGGATCTATGTGGTAAGTGTGCACCATATAAAACAAATCCTGCAGCACACAGTGCATAATGAGGTAAAAAAAAGCTGCAACCGTGTTTTTGGATTAATACAGCAACTTTGTGGTGTATTTTTGTATGGTTTATTCATGGTTTCTTGATCTCATTTGATAGAATGGAAGGTATATTACAGAAACAGAGATGATTTTGACTGGTTTTAGTACTGAAAATAGCTCGAAACTGAGCTTAAATTAGCGGAAATGTTTGATTTTTGCCGATGTTCAAGAGTAAACAAATGATGTCATGAGTCCAATACATGTCAACCAGTGGGTCTAATATACGTTCAGGAATGTGCTGATATTACTTATACAATTATTACAATATTGCATAACAGTAAATCTATTTTTTTGGTGTGAATAAAAATTCTTTATGTGAATAAAAAATCATCTGTAAAGCCTGGAAACATAACTAATAAACAGAGGAAATGTTATTTTAGTGCCAGGAATGCCTCCACTGTTTATTCTGGATGCTATTTTGAAGTTGGAATATTCTGAACTTTGTGTGAAACTGGCCAAATTACCAATTTCTGATCACTTTATTTAACTGGGCAGTTTCTTGTGCTCAATTGATAAAATAGAAGCAATACTAGCGAAACGGCTAAGAATTTGGTCGACTGGAATAATGTAACTGGCCTAAAATAGGAGTCAAAGTGGGCAATTGCCGAAGCATAAATATCGCTGACACAGTAAAATTCAATCAAATTTCGTAGTTTTCATTTTATTACCTTCAGAAAATGATTCTCTACCATTTCATAAGAATTTTTTTTTTTTTTAAATTCTAGAACCCTGTGGACAAGGCGTAGAACTACAGCTTAGGCCTTCAAAGGGTTAACAGTAACTACTGTAACTGTCAGCAAAAATTATTGTTAGAAGATTAACTATTGAGTTTGGCAGAGGCAATGAGGTGCTATAATATGTCTATATCTTAGCATCTATGGCAGTGTTATGCAAGTCGGGCATTTCTAACCCAATATATATTTTATATATATATGTATATACGAGATTCAAGATTAAGAGTATAAAACTCATACCTTAACCTAACTACATTTGTTACCCTGGACAAACTGCACAAAGTTACACAAAGTGCAAAAATCATTTTTAATAAAAGCAAACTGAAAAAACTGTGTATCCTGGAATACTTGCAGGCAAGATTTAGATAAAAAAAAAATTCTTGAAGTAAATTTTATAGCATAAAAGACTCTTGACAACAAGCTACAATCTTATGTCCGACTTAACCATGAATGGAGCAGATATTTAATAATTCAACTTTATTATATACCTTTTTATCACTAAATTCAGTATACATTAATATTTGTCTTGGCCAATATATGAAAAACTTTAAGAATTTAATCTTCTACATCTTCACTAAAATGTTAGCCAGCAATCCCCTTAGATATAAAGAACATTAAAATTTTCTTTGCCTTTGTGCTTAAATAAATTTCATTCATGTCTCAAGAACTTTACAGACTTTCTTGAATTTAAGTTAATGAACCTACACACTTCCACAATGCATTACACTTTTGCATGAAGCTGTAGTAGCTGAATTTACTTTAGTATTATGATAACTCTATAACGTAGGCCAGAGGAAGCACCAATCAGTGTTGGGTCTTGAGTCTGAGACTGAACCAATCTGCTGTCCATGTATGGTACCCACATATCATGGCAGTGCTCCAGTTTCTGCAGTCCACACAAACACTCACGCTGTTAACGACCATGATTTATTGTTTTATAATTTACTGGCAAAACTATTAATGGGTTCTACAATAGTAGTATTAACCCTTAAATTGTCCAAACATAGATCTATGTTCACGTGTGTAGTGCTCCGACCTTGATTTTCCCAATTTGAAAGCATGTAAAAAAAAACATAGATCTACGTTCGGAGTCCCCCGCACGTGGATGTAGATCTACATTTGGAAAGTTTAAGGGTTAATATTGATGTGGCACCCAGTGTCCCAGGTTATTACAAGAAGAGGCAAAAAAATGAAGTAGAATGGAAAATCCTGTGTAACAAAACTGAGGAAGTTTCTTATGGAATGGAGTACAAGAGCAGCTGGAGAAAGTGCAGAGGTATGTAACACTAGTTCCAAAACTAAGGGGTAACAGCTAATAGGGAAGACTACTGGAATTAAATCCAATGACACTTGAGGACAAGAGCTAAGAGATGCATGATAATGACATACAAAATATTCAGAGTAACTGAAAAGAAAGACCAGAGATAGGCTACTTGAAAGGCAGAAAATAAATACATACTGAAGGGCAAAGCAGAAGTTAGACCCAGATGAACCAGAGGGATACCAGAAAGTATTTTTTTTCAGTTAGGGTGAATGGAAAGCTGAATGACCTTGACAAGGTGATGGAGGCAGGCTTCATACATAGTTTTAAAAGCAACTATGATACAGCCCACAACCCTAGGAAAGAGTGATTCTGGCAACCACAAGTTGAGAGGCAAGGCCAGGAGCTAGGACTTCATTCCTGCAACCATATACAGGTAAGTAAAAATCTCATGACAAGCAAGGCTGTGCCTGAGCATACTGCAGCAAAGATAACATCCTGATCATAGAAGGTGAAATGTGGGCACTGATATGCAAAAATTCAAGAGGATTTTTAAATGCTTTAAGTACTGTAAACAGAAATGAATGAGGATTATGAAACTATATAAAAGATATGAGATGGCAAAGAAGGCCAAGGATAGCAATGAGGAGACATTCAGTTGGTTGATTATTACAGTGAATTCTCGCATAACTCATGGGTCACATTCTTGAAACTGACACTAAGTAATCTGCAGTGGTGGCTCGTAACGCCAGTAATACCTATACTATCGTACTGCATCAAACTTCTATTTTTAATAATTTTTTATCTTGTTCCAACAAAAAATAAATGAATAAATAAATAAAGAATTCCCTTATAAATACATTGAAAACAACATACAACAGATTTTTCTTGTAATATATTTGTCAGTTTCAAATTATTTTTAGCGTAAGGTTGATGAACTCATTTGTCTGGCAGTGAGCATCTGGGGGACTGCAGCTCTGCAGCTCCTATGGATGAGCCACCACTGGTAACCTATGTTATGTGGCGTGAATAACATACAGGAAAAATAAGGTAACAGGTTCTTGACACCTCCAAAAATTCTAATTCTAACAATAATTTAAATTTTTTGTCATTAAAAATAATGCAGTTTTTGACACCTCATATTATAACGTTGACTGTTGATCCTGAAATGAATTAAGTACCCAAAGCCTACATAAAAACTTGCAGTACATATTAAATAACTTACACAAAACCCTAAGGAAGCTAGTGTTTCATATGGTATACTGACTTTCTTCTGGAAAAAAGGGTTTGGTATTCCTTCCAGACAAAACAGAGAAGGCTAATACATACATTGCCAGTGACTATTATAAAGTTAATGCACAATCTCATCAGTTTAAAATATGCTAAAAAAGTAACAAGAAAGAAATGCACCCTATTTTACACAGCCTCTCGTCACTTAACGACGAAGTTACATTCCTAAGACCACGTCAGTAAACGAATCCGTCGCTAAGCAAGGAGCATACTATAATGGTAGTGGGTTTGTGTCAACCATCTTTGATATTGTTTTAATGTAACCTTTGCACCATTTATAAAATTTTTGGTATATTTTTAAATGCTTATACAGTAGTGTACTGTACAGTGGACCCCCGGTTAACGATATTTTTTCACTCCAGAAGTATGTTCAGGTGCCAGTACTGACCGAATTTGTTCCCATAAGGAATATTGTGAAGTAGATTAGTCCATTTCACACCCCCAAACATACACGTACAAACGCACTTACATAAATAAACTTACATAATTGGTCGCATTCGGAGGTGATCGTTATGCGGGGGTCCACTGTATATTATAATAAACAGAACAGAGGAAATCAGCTCTAATATACATTATTTAGGTATGCATACTGGTCAGAGAGCCTGTCGTAAGTCCGAGTTATCGGTAAACGAGTACGTCACTGAGGAGAGGCTGTATTCTTTCATCCTCTTGCTTGTTGACATGGAAGTGTTTGGAGATAGTTATGTAGCTCTACTGCGCAGTAGATGGCTGTATGTCATCTGTTTCATTAGCTGATGCCTCTCATACATTTCATTGTGCAATTTTCTCATAATAGTAACAAGGAAGTACAGTGGACCCTTGGTTATTGGCCAACTCGGTCATAGCCCAGTTTTTTGGCTGAAATTTTATTCTGGTTATCGGCTGTTATTTTGCTTATCGGCTGCATTGGACGCGTCCACCCTCCAGCTGCTCATGTGTTCGTGAGTCAGTCTGGCTGTGTCTCTGGGCGAGTGAGGAAACTTCTGCTCATTCATCCAAACATTTTGCTATAATCCATTGTTTTTTGTGGTTATTGATCGAGTGCAACTGCAAAATAAGCAACCATGGGCCCAAAGAAAGTTCCTAGTAAAGTTCCTTTGTTAAAGAAAGTGAGAAACACGATGGAATTTAAGAATGTGTTGAAAAGTATGAGAGTGGTATTCAAGTGCTAGAACTTGCCAGGGTGTATGGGAAATCCAAATCAACAATCACTTCCATCCTGGCAAAAAAGTAGAAATCAAGGAAGCTAATGTTGCCAAAGGGAGTTTAGCAGGCAGGCAGGGGAGTGTAGTAGGGAGGCAGGGTATAGCAGGGAGTGTAGGAGGAAGGCAGGGAGTGTAGGAGGAAGGCAGGGAGTGTAGCAGGCAGGCAGTGAGTGTAGCAGGGAGGCAGGACCCCAATGGAAATAAGTCACCCTGACTTTTTTGGGTTATCCTAGGTTCTTTACACATATGCTGTGGAAGGGAAGCAGGGAGTGTAGCGGGGAGGCAGGAAGTGTAGCATAGAGGGAGTGAGTTTAGCAGGGAGGCAGGGAGTGTATCAGGGAAACAGGGAGTGTGGAAGGGAGGCAGGGAGTGCAGTATGGAGGGAGGGAGTGTAGCAGGCAGGGAGGGAATTAACCCCAGAGGGGGCTTTGATACCTGAAGTCTTTACGGAGGGGGATTCCCCTTCCAAACAATAATCAGCCCTCCCTCTCCTCCTCCTCCCTGTCTTCCATAAGCCAACAAGTCTTCAATAAAGTTATGTTCATTTATTTATTTAGTTCTCATTGTTTTGTGTATGTAAAACTATAATTAATCTTTAAAAAATGTATTTTTGTTAATATTTTTGGGTGTCTGAAACGGATTAATTTTATTTACATTAATTCTTATGAGAAATATTTCGGTTTTAGGCCGACCTTCTGGAATGGATTATGGCCGATAACCGAGGGTCCACACTATTTTATTCTCTCAAATTCCTCGTTCTCTTACAACTCTAAGTGGAGGACAGCTGTAAGTCAGATATCTGTCAATGTTTTATCAGCTGACAGCCGTAGGTCATCTGCTGATGTTTACTGGGCCATTACAGTATACATCAAATTGAGCCAGAGTCAACAGCTGGCTTTAACAGGCTGTAGAATTCTCTGAACAGAAACGTCATGCCTGAGTCACCTTTTAAAAACTTAATGGTGCATACGTTCGTCAAAACTGCCTAGTAATTTTACGGAAAAGAAATGTTAATAATGGTCTACTGAAAATGTACTATCAAGACACATGCTATACTGTAACTATGTTTACTGTATTCACAAAATGCTCCAAACCCAAATAGGTCATAAAACTTCAAGAATGAGGGTAGCTACTGGCAGTGTGGAGGGTGAATTAATGAACTAACAAGAGAAGCCAATGGTTGAGTAACAAATCAGTTTCAGTCAGAAAGATCAGAGAAGTGTCAGTGTTGAAGGTAGTGTTTTCTGAAAGGAATACAGGCACCTTTTCCATGTGACAGGAATGAGTCTTGTATGGCCAGTATAAAATCACACAAGAAGCATTTCCCAAACGTAACAACACTGAAAAAAGTCAACCAAGAACTCTACTGAGGTATGATTAATAACAGCATTTTGTTCTCTGACCTAGACCCATGATAATACCGTCAATCCTAAATGCTCAGAGACAAAACTGGAATACAATCTGAAAGGAGCAGATTCCTGAAAGTGATAGAAGAATGTACAGAAGAGTCTGCAGGTTCACTGTCCTGAACATCAGAATGATCAAGGATCCAGCAAAAAGACTACCTTTATACTAACTGAAGAAGTGACATGAAATGAATGTGAAGGACAATGGGATGCAATGAGTCAAATCTCCAAGGAGCTTGTAATGCACTTTTCTAACTCAGAGACCACAACAAAGGAAGAGAAGCAATATAGCTGATAACTGCAAGAAGTGCACAGAACTCTGCTGTAAAAATATAAGCCATATCCAGAAATTCATTAATTCATCATCCAACAAATACATATTTTTTTCTTTTTGGTAAAAGTACAATTGCATAAAATTTTAGAATTGAATATATACCATTAATGATCTTTGCAATTCTATTTACAGCAGATTATATAAATTATTTTGAAAAAATATTGAAAATTACAGATAAAACAGCCTGGCAAAATGAGTCTAGCAAATCAACTCCCCAAGTTAATACTCCTACCCACCATACTTGTCCACTAAAGAAATTAAATTTTTTTTTGTCTTAGACGGTTATCACTTTTATGAAAAATACTTTAATTTTCTGATATGCTCAAGATGAACAACTTATTTAACCCTTTAACTGTATCCAATGTACTAGTACACATGTGCTGGTACTGTGTCTGATGTACATGAGAGCCTAGC